CTTACCATTTCACAAGCTTTTTGTGCACGAATATTTATTTCTTATATATTGATTAATATCCTACAGAAGAATGTTCCATGGGACATCAATTTGGTAAATGGTGTATTTAAACTAACAAGCCAAAGGCAAGAAGAATTCAGATATTTCTGACTTCAACAGAGGTCAATCAGCAATAAGCAAATTTTTTAATGCCAACTCTCAAAACCAACTAACCAAAAAGTACCCAGCAAATCTCTTACAGATGCTTACACAGTATTTTTTGGCTTGAGGTCTTCAAGTTGACTTATACCTGATAAAAACTAACTTGACAAGAGTTATGCTTTCCTTCTTTCAGCACTGAAATGAAAGGTAGACATTCCAGATTTATTCACTTCTCACAGGGAAAGCTATAGGAGTGTTTAGCTTTATAAAAACCCAAACAAAAGAAATGCATCTCTTATCCTTACTGAGCACTAAGCCCATCATTCTTGCTGCTGAGTGAGTGGCCTGAGGAGAACCAACAAACGTACAAAAATTAAGTGACTTTTGTTTATATTCTCTTCTTTCTGCTCTGTTGACGCAGCAGGTATTAAATCTGCCTGATGCACTGCAGGCCTGGTGGGGTAGCCCTGCTTGGCTGAGAAGGGCAGGAGAACAGGTCACTGCCAATCTCAGCAGACACTGTATAAAGAAAACAATGGCCTTTCCTGCAAAAACGTTTCTCCTTTCTTATTAGGGCATTACTCTTTGCTACACTTGTAACAAACATAGTCAATAACAGTTATAGGCCAACTTCTGAGAGATTCCTCCCAAATTACAAAGGAAAAACACCGGCATTTCCTTTACCTCTTTGAACTATAATTGGCATTTATTCAATAAACATTTATGAAGTGCTTATCACGAACCAGGCACTATACCAACTGCTGAGGTTCCTAAGACTAATAGCACAGGCCTTGAGAATCTGACAGTATAAATTAGAGGGCAAAGAAAATACTTTCTGAATACCCTCAAGAGTACCACAAGCCTTGCCTGAAGTAGAATGAGGATGACCTGGAACCTGACTTTAGAATAAACAGGCTCTCTGAGATTGGGAGTGAAAATCCCTAACAACAGGCACTCTATGCTCCATGCCGTTGAAGACTTTCTTGTGTTCTATGGTACCTTGAGCCTAGATTAGGGCCTCTCAACACTTATTAGCTACTGAATGAGCAAGGGGGGCAGGAACCATCTAGAGTAATAATTTAGCAATGTATGAATCTTTTTATTCTCAGCACTAGCCTATATAGCTTTTCCTTGACAATGCTCCCTTAACAGAGTAACCGATTCCATCTTTGACCAGCTAGTCAGGCACTTCCTCCTCACATTGTGCAGAAATGCAACCCCCTCAGCTTCCACCCACAGGTGCACACTCTACCCTCCAGGACTCTAGGGAACACAGAACATTTCTTTCCATTGCTATTTACTTCGCACATTTCAAGTCTGTAGAGAAGTTGAGGGAACAGCACAATCAATGCCCATATGCTTTTCATCTACTCACCAATTAATATTTTCCTATATTTGCGGTTTTACCTTTTTTCTTCATGAATCATTTGAGAGTTATTTTGCAAATGTAAGACTACATCACTTCTAACACTTTTGTGTATTATCTCTTAAGAATAAGAACATTCTCCCACATGACAGCATTCCTATTTATATATCTAAAAAAAGTTTCATTAACAAAATATTATCTAAAATAAAATTTATATTTAAATTTTCCTACTTATCCCCAAAGTGCCTTTTTTTTTAAATCTGGATTTTAAAATTCCAGATTAAAGAAAAATTCAGTCTTTTTTAATCTAAAAATTTTTTAAGACTTTGTATTTTTATTACATTATCTGTTTTTGCCAGGACTTCTATGTGTATTATACTTGATGGAGGCATATACTGTCGGGATGTCTCAGTAGTGATGACATATAACTTGACCACCTGATTAAGACTGAGATCACCGGGGCACTTGGGAGGCTCAGTGGGTTAAGTGTCTGCCATCAGCTGAGGTCATGATCCAAGTCCTGGGATCGAGCCCTGCTTCAGACTCCCTGCCAAGCAGGGAGCTTGCTTCTTTCTCTCCCTGTGTCACTTCCCCTGCCTATGCTTTCTCTCTCTCTCTCAAATAAAAAATAAATATTTTTTAAAAAAGAACGAGATCAACAGATCTATTCACTGAAAAATTACATTTCCCCTTTTGTAACTAAAAACTCAAAGGGGTACCTGGGTGGCTCAGTGGTTGAGTGTCTGCCCTTGGCTCATGTCGTGATCCTGGGGTCCCAGGATCAAGCCCCACATCAGGCTCTCCGCAGGGAGCCTGCTTCTCTCTCTGCCTGTCTCTGCCTCTGTGTGTATGTGTGTCTCATGAAAAAATAAAATCTTTAAGAAAAAAAAAAACTGGGGCTCCTAGGTGGCCCAGTCTGTTAAGTGTCTGCCTTCCACTCAGGTCATGATCTCAGGGTTCTGAGATCGAGCTCCACATCAATCTGCTTAAGACCCTCTCTCCCTTTCCCCATTTCTCCCCACTGCTCTCTCTCTCTCTCTCTCTCTCAAATAAATAGGTAAATCTTATAATTTAATTAACTAATTAAAAAATATAAACTTAAAAATACTTAAGCCAGTGTGAATATTTGTCCCTCCAATAACTTTTTTGCCCAACTTTTTGTAGCCACTGATGATCCTTGCCTGAATCAACTATTATACTAAGAATTATAAAATGATTCTATGAGCTCTTCTGCACGGATTTTTAAAAATCCAATGCATTAGAATTTATTATCACTTTAAAATTTTTTTGATATTCAAATTGTCCCAAATTTGGCCAGTAGGTGGTTTTTGATACTGCCTCCTAGGCCTTTTTGACATGAACCATTAGTAAGCATTTCCTATCTTTCTGTCACACCACAAGCCCAGCCTCACCTATATACTATCCTCTCCCCAGACCCTGAATTAGCCATTTCTCCAAGGATCTCTGGTTTCTGGTGGTGGACACTAGCCTTTAGGAGAAACAAGTCAGCTAGTGTCTTCTACATACCAGCCCTTCAAGTGCTCAAAGCCAGTTACTTCTGTCCCACATACCTCCCCAAACCTCTACACCTAGGCTAAATTCACCAAACTCCTTACACAAGTCTTGCTGTAACTTAACTTTGATTTCTAAACTACTCTTCTCTTTCATATTCCTTGTCCCAACTCGGTTGCGGTCTTATATTCTAGTAGTTCCCAACCTAGCTATACATCAAAATCACTAAAGGATTTCTTTACTATAGAGATTCCAAGATCAACTCACTCCAAAGTTACTGAATAAGAATCTCTGGGGTGAAGCATGGGACTCTGTTTTTGATTTTAAGTTCCTCAAGTGATACCAATATAGCCCAGTCCACTGCCTACTTCAATTTTTCAAGACCTTGTGAATCCCAAATTGGATACAATATCAAGAAGTATGGTCTAGAGCTATGACTTTTCTTGGACATTCTATTTCTTTTAGTATAATTAAATTGTTGCCGACATTTTTCTGGAAGGTGGAGACAATGGCATAAAATTTCTGACTTATGACAAATTTATGAAGAACTAAATCCTCAACAGTTTTCTAAACATATTGTTAAGTTACAACTCCCTTATCTCCTTATGTGCCATTGGTCTTTCAGGCCTAAGTGTAAGGACTTACATTTATTCCAATTAAAACTTATATTGCTTGATTTATCAAACCTTCAGGGTCTTATGGATCCTGATTTTATCACACAGAGTGTTTTTTACCATTCCAACTTTATGCCATTCACAGTTAAACATGCTATCAAACTCTTCTTACATTGCCTTTTTAAAAAATTATTAAAACAAATCTTATAGACTTTTCTTATAGAATTTTCTACAGTGGTGGTGGTGACACAACTGTATGTATTCACAAACACTCACAGAAGCATACATCAAGAAGAATGAATTTTAATGTATGTGAATTATACCTTAAAAAAGATCAGCCTTACATTCCAAATAACCCACTGTATTTTTCTTCCAGATTAGGTCTCACTAACTTATTTTGATTGACAATCTCTGCAAAATGGAGGAATAACTAATGGAGTTTTCATAGACTTTGTATTTTTATTCAGTTGATATCAATGTATTCTGGGTTTGATGCTTTGAAAAAGCATCAGGGTTTGGTTTACCAGGCCAGTCAACCCAGTCGATGCATTATTACCATTTTATCAGTTACCACAACACAAAATGCAAAGAAGTGATGGGCTGTGAAATAAGGTTAAAATAATATTAAAGGAATTACAATTCTTCATAGAACTAGGCTAAAAAAAAAAAATCAAACACAGGCCTGTCACTCTTGCATAGGAGTAGAAGTTAAAACATTTCCACCTGTAAGTTTGACAAGGATTTTAAAAAATACTCTTCGGTGCTGGTGAAGGTCTTATGAAATACATGCTCAGACAGTGTAAGTGAGGGGCTTAAGTGAAATAGCCTTCCTGCCTTAGATAGATAGAATCTATCTAACAAGAACTTAAAGAATTAAACTTAAAGAATACATATGTACTAAGAAAAACTAGAAAGATTACACCAAACTTTAAGCAGGAACCAGCCATCTCCAGCCAATGGAAGATAGACTGTTTTGTTTTTTAATGTTTTATATTAAAAAATGTTTAAAAAATTTCTACAGTGAGCCCATGTTAGTTTTATAATTAGGAAAAAAGAAATACATATTTATTAAAAAGAAAGGGGAAGAAAATAAACCACAAAGAAAGTAAATATAGAAAAAATAATTTTTTTGGTAAAGATTTACCTGTCACTGATAGGAATTCTCAAGAAAAATATGCCTTTCAGGTAGTCAATAATTTCATAAAGAATTTTTGTTCAGAAAATGAACATTTTCCCTTGTGAAGCTTATGTGAATGCCACAGAAGATTCAAATATACAGTAACTCTATAAGGGATACTTGAACTGCCTCCAAATTTTTTCCAAATGAGAAGTGTTATACAGAATTATTAAAAACTATAAACTCATACCTTGAAGAACGGTGCTCTGGTTTATTTCGTTCGTTGCGATCTGTAAAGAAGGAAGACAGTTACATGTCAAAATTCTCTTCAGAAGCCCTGGAAAAGAAGTTCTTAAATACCGGCTGCCATACCATAGATTTCACAAAGGACTGTTCAAAGGTTGCTGTGTCTTACCCTGTATGAGGCTCTTTATCAGAGTTGAAAGGATTTGTCTGACATAAGAGGTAAAAGGATATAAAGCTAGGCAGGCATGTAAAGTTTTTAAGGTTTGTTAAAATCATCTACTTGGAAAGTGTATCATTACACATATTATTTCATTTTCAAAGATCTTTGCTGTTTTAAACACTTTACTAAACCCAAACAAATTTAGCTAAGGAAAGAAAGGAAACTGAAAAGCCACAGATTACTCAGCTCAAAAAAATTATTCCATGAATCATGGTTAGCAAAAGCTTCCAACAGGATAGGGAGGGGGAGAAAAATGAGCAGTCAGCTACAGCAGCATCTGCAAACATCCTAAGACCTCATCCTTAACTCTCTATTGCTGAGAACTTTTCAAAAGTTGGATTTCAATGTTTCACTGATAATTAGGTCTAATGTGCTATATAGAGGGCAGTGGTTCTTGACCAGGAGCAATCCACCTCCCAACCCCCAAGAGACACTTGACAATGCCTGGAGACACTTTTAATTGTCACAACTGGGGAAGAAGGAACTACTGGTACCTAGTAGGTAAAGAGACCAGTGATGCATAAAATGTCCTACAATGCACTCTACAACAAAGAATTATGTCACCCAAAGTGTCAATAGAGCTGACATTGAGAAACTTTGCTATAGGGTAAGAGATAGGGCTGCTTGAAGTTTTCCCAGGTGCCTCTTTGGGCTGCTGTAAAATGCTGTTAATCAACCTGAAGACTATTATATATATGAGAAAGAACTATTATATATATGAGAAAAATCCACAGGTCATCTTTTTTTGACTCCAAGTAACAATTTTTTTCAGTACATGCTTAAGAATAAACAAAGTGAAAGTCTCAGTTATGGAAAAACTAACAACAGAAATCAACGTGTAAAAAAAAAAAAGTAAAAAAAAAATAAAAAATAAAAAAAGATATCAACGTGTAAGCCAAAATAAAATCCTATGCAATAGCTTTTTAAAAATCCTGTGCAATCTTAATAAAATATAGTTTTCTAAAGTATCTTCTGAATTAATACTAACGATATAGAATTTAATGGCAAAACAAAGATTGGACAAGAATTCTTTATTTCCCCCCTTAATTTTATTGCTCCTGGAGCAGCAAAAAGATACTAAAAATATACTATAAAACTTCTGGAGAGAGTTATGGAAGAAGAAGTATAGTATTTACACAGTTAAATGTATTTATCAGTTCTTTCTGAATAGGTTCATAATGAAAAAGAAATGTTTCTTTAAACCAGGAAGTTAGTACACAGGAAGTATGTTCTCTAAGAGAATAACAAGTAGGAAGATTCACAATAAAACATATTTGTTTAGATAAAATGCTCTCCAAAATGCACAATATTACTATGCTTTTGGTTCCTGTTTCTCTACATAGTGACCTAGTATTACTGCCACTTTTAAAACTTTTGTTTTAATTTAACTTAGTTTTACAGTCCCTCAAATAAAAACATCATGGTTTTTCACTTGTGGAGCACTAAAACTTTCAAAGTCTAGCAATAGAGCACACATTTAATCTTTTTTTTTGAATCGTTCCTCTTTAGCTTTAGGCTGCTAGTTTTATTACCAAAAGTAAAATACCTCAAAGCACAGCTGGAAACTGGACGCAGATCAGCTATCTTCAGTATTAACAAAGCAACAATTCTTACCTGTGGCTAACGATGAGCTAAAAATCTGCCCAGGATGCCATTTGACGTGGCTGTGATCTTAGTTTCGTAGAGTTTATTTAGGCATGTAATAGCGAATTGCCCCGCAAATCTGCCTAGTGGTACAACACACGGGAGGAGGGGAGAAACAGAGTCACAACGCACGTAAACAAGACTCAGCATCTGAGGGCTTCCCTCCAGGGCCTGTTCTGATTGGCAGATGTGCTATGACCAATCTGCACAGCTGGAATGTGTCCACTCGGGAAGCAAATGGCTCATAGCTCTCCTTCATTCTTGGTTAAAACAGGAAATTCTACAGTTGTTTTATACTTTGTGCTCTAAGGAGATATAAATGCCTCCTCACAGTACTTCTCTAATGAATGAGCTGATAATCTGTTGGCAGACATTTTAAACATTCCCTCCCAAATTCTCGGTGTTATATTCCTATGTAAATATACATACACAATGATTATAACATGTCACTCCTAAGACCCATATATTTGATGATTTGAGGATAAGGGGTAAATTATCCATTGCTTGCAATATCCCCTGTCCCCCAGCTTGTGACAATGGAAAACAAATTAAAACACATGTTCTTGTCTTATTTTTTTTTTCTCAGAGTGTACAAAGAACTGGGTTTCACATTTTGCCCTAAGCCATCTTTTAGCTTAAATACATATATGTTTAGTACGTGTCTGTTGTGTGCGTCTACAAAAATTTTTACATGCTTATTTTAAGCTAAGAAATCTCCATGACAGCCAAGACAATTGTGCAATTGTCAAGAAATAACATTAGTGGCGATGCTGAATTTTTGGCAAATTAATAAATGGTTATTATTTTGGTCCAAAATCTAAGACTGAACAAAACAAAGCACCGAGGGCAGATTTGGGATCTGGATCTCGCCAACAATAATAAAACATTTGGATAAAAGTCCCTTAAGAAAAATGAGAACAGATCCATAGCAAATATGGAAATTTCATCTTGACTATAGTGCCTTAAGCATATGGATTTTATTTATTTCAAATCAAATACTCTTTGGCCTATATCCCCCCAATTTTTTTCAGAGTTTCTAATTTTTAAGTAACTAGGAGAAAATATATTTGCAAGGCTTCTTGAGCTTTTGCATACTTAAGAATCATAGAAATAACTTACTATACCAAAGTCTCACCATTTATATGAAAAAAAGGGGTTATTAAAAATAAGAATGTTCTAACCCTAAAATTTAGTTGCCAAATGCTGCACATTTGTTGTAGATAATGCACTAACCCCAGGGGCCTACCGGGCTGTGTTATGATTTAGGTCAAAGATCAGTAGTACACTCTTAACGTGAAGGTCAGCATGGCTGTAGAGCTACATAAAAGTCTGTTGGGTTTATTTTGTTTTTTAAGATTTTAGTTATTTATTCATGAGACACACACACACACAGAGAGAGAGAGAGAGAGAGAGAGAGAGAGAGAGGCAAAGACACAGGCAGAGGGAGAAGCAGGCTCCCTGTGAGGAGTCTGATGCAGGACTTGATCCCAGGACCCTGGGTTCATGCCTGGAGCCTAAGGCAGACGCTCAACCACTGAGCCACCCAGGCATCCCAAGTCTGTTGGTTTTGTAGGCATATGTCTGTCTGTCTGTCTGTCTGTCTCTCTCTCTCTCTCTCTCTCTCTCACACACACACACACACACACACACACACACACTGGAGTGGGAGAGAGAAAGAGAAAACCTGCTTGCATTCCCTGTTCTTACTCATCCATGTCTCCTGTTAATAAAGCTAATTGAGGAAATGGAAGAAAACCCCACAGGCAGAACAAAAGCAACATGAGGCAGAACTGGTGCCAAGGATGCTGTTGGCTATGTGAGTATAAATGTTATTGGGAGATGTAAAGGAGGCAATGGGGGAACCCACGGTCCCTCAAGGAGACTGAGATCAGGAGAGCGATAGGAAGCTCTCACGGGCTGGTGACTCTGTAGGAGAATTCCAGTTCATCCAAATCTTCCTGCCATGACAACTTCTGATTCTAAGTAATCTGGACAGGCATGAATCCAATGTTTATGTACATAGGTGATATTCCACTTAGGTAGAAATGGGCCTCTGTTCTGGCAGGGACGGCATACTAGGAATGGCTGGGCAGAGTCTACTGATGTGTGACCATTCAGGGTGATTCTGAATCTAATAATACGACAAAACACTTTGAAACAAAGATGACAAGAATGCAAATATCATCTTTTGCTTTGATTAAAACTATGAAGAATGGCCAACTTAGAACTTATTAGAATCCATGGTAAGACATTCAGGCTTTGAGGATTTGGCTTTGATCACTTAACTAGACAGAAAATCAAACCCTATTGCATAGGGAACTTAGACTACTAACTCAAGTTGGCAGTGGAAAGTCCTAAATCGTTCTTTGAAATTAGTGGGAAGACTCAAGTCTACGTGAATGAATACACACAGCCACACTCAGAGCAGGAAGTGGTATAATGGAACCTGCCTTGTACCTCACACTGGAGTATTAAAATGAGTATTTAAAATGAGTGTTATCTTTAAAGTTAGTATTATCTATGAAGGGATTCTGTACTATATTCCCAAGTCAAATTCCAGCTTGGGAGTATATACTCTATGTTATGTTTAAAAAATGGATCGATCCTATATAAATGCTTTGTATCATTCGGTACTAACTAAAGGATCCACACATTCTAAAAAAGAACTCCCTGCAACAATATCATTACCTCTTTACTTATAAGCAGAATAAATAATATATCCTTCCATTAGAAGTAGGAAGATATTCAAGATCATGAATCTTACTTTGATGACTCTTCGAAAGATTGGGAAAGGAGTTCCACTCAAATAATCCCATGGATAGAATTGTACATATATGAGATCAGAGTTTCACAGGCTTTAGTAGTCTTTAAAAGGTTCTTTTATTTAGGCAAAGAAAACTGAAAATTTATGTCTACTTGAAAAGAAGCTAGGTTCATCCTACAAAGTTACTGATGCTAATGTTTATTTACCACCTCCTTCTAGCTCCATGTCACTACTGTCACCACTCTTAAGTACGTCTTCAAATTGATTTCTAGTCATTTTTGAGACTCCCACAGTAAATAGTTTAAAATAAATAAATTGAAGTATTTTAAAAGATTGTATTTGAGAGAGAGGTAGTATGTATGCATGCACAAGTGTACGTAAGCACAAGCAAGGCTCTATCACCAGCCTGAGATTAT